AGGGCAAGGTGATGGAACCTGGGTCGCCTGCATGCAATGTCAGCACCTACCTGCTGTACTATCAGTCCAGTTCTCCTCACCCATTTTTTTTTAAGAAAGGAAAACAATGGATTGAGGGACCATAGAAAAGACAAGAAAAGAGGGGAAGGGAAGCTTTTTTTTTTCTTTTTTCTTTTTGGGTCACATACGGCAATGCTCAGGGGTTATTCCTGGCTCTACACTCAAGAATCACTCCTGTCAGTACTTGAGGGACCATAAGGGATGCTGGGAATCGAACCTGGATTCACTGTGTGCAAGGCAAACACCCTACCCGCTGTAATCACTCCAGCCCCGGGAAGGGAAGCATTTTTTTTTTCAGTGACAGTGACAGTGACATTTTGGGTTACACCCAGCAATGCACAGGGGTTACTCCTGGTTCATGCACCCAGGAATTACTCCTGGCGGTGCTCGGGGGACCATATGGGATGCTGGGAATCAAACCGGGGTCGGCCGCATGTGAGGCAAATGCCCTACCCGCTGTGCTATTGCTCCAGCCCCAAGGGAAGCATTTTAAAGAACAAGAACTCAAAATAATAAGATGGTAGACATAGGACCAGATTGTACAGTTGGTAAGGTGCTTGTCTTACACATAACAGACCGTGGTTCAGTTTCCAGTACTCAAGCCCTGCTAAGTGATGCTGAAAAGAAAAAGAAAAGAAAGAAAAGAAAATTCACTGATTCAGAATAATCAAGAAAGAACAGACCCCAAAATAACTATCATCCTGTAACACAGACTAGTGATTGCTACATGGTTACATCATAATACAGAGCATTAGAATACATTTTTGGTGTACTCTTTTAGGCATATGCACAGAATGGCTTGGTGCCAGAGAGACCAAGGGGTCGTGGGAATCTAACCTGCATTTTCATTGTGCAAAACATAATGAATCTAACCTGCACTTTCATTGTGCTTTGCACAATCTCCCTACTTTGAACTATCTCCCTGGCCCTCAAACACACTAAAAATCACAATCACAAATCACAAATCATCCTGTTATTCGTCGATTGCCTCGAGCAGGCTCCAGTAACGTCTACTTTATCCTAGCCCTGAGATTATATTCAAGGCTCTTTAGGAGAATGAGACCCATCATTGTTACTGGTATTTGGCATATTGGGTACGCCACAGGGAGTTTGCCAGACTCTGCCCTGTGGGCAGGCTACATTCGATAGCCTGCCAGTTTGTCCAAAGTAGGAATGAGATAACAAGATGTCATAATAAGAGAAGGTCCTAGGAGCTGGTTTTTATAGTCTCTGAGTCTTGGCCGTTGATGGGATTACACGGCGCCAGGGGGCCAGTTGGTGGGTGTGACCCCCGCCTACTGGAATTTGGAGGATCTGGGTGGAGGATGCTCGACCCCAATCCGAGTAGACTTGGAGATCTCAGCCCCGGAACCCACGTGGCTTTGTCCCTCCGCCAGCACCTTCATGTGTGCGGAGAGTGGTCTCAGCATGGTGGTGGCTGGTCCTGGAGGTCTTCAGCTGCCGGAGCCCTGGTCGGGGCGGGGAGGAAAGCTCAACCCGCTCCCCTCCAAGGGGCTGCGGCAAGGACAGCCAGGAGCGGGGGGCTCCAGGCATGTTGAGCTTTCCTCCCCGCCCCAACCAGGGTTCCGGCAGCTGAAGAGTGGTCTCCGCACACATGAAGGTACTGGCAGAGGGACAAAGCCACGCGGGTTCCGGGGCCGAGATCTCCAAGCCTATTCAGATTGGGGTCGAGCATCCTCCACCCAGATCCTCCAAATTCCAGTAGGCGGGGGTCACACCCACCAACTGGCCCCCTGGCGCCGTGTAATCCCATCAACGTCCAAGACTCAGAGACTATAAAAACCAGCTCCCGGAAGAGAACTAAAAATAAATAAATAAAAATTTTAAAAGAATAGGAATGTTCGGAGGTATGATGCCGCCAGCAGGTCAATCTGTACCTGTAAGGTGAGTTCATCAGCAGCCTGATGGCACTGTCAGACTTTCAGATACCCCAAAATTGCTGCTGTGCCTTTAGCCAGACCCCAAAAACTTGGGGCAAAGTTTACCAAGAAAGTTAACGGCCAAAAGTTAGGTACGTGGGAGACACACCCACAAATCACCTCCAGCTCAGCTATACAATTGGAGGCATGGCCTCTCTGATACCTGATCGAACTGCTTAACGGCCATGATCCCAGAGACTCAGAAACGAATCTCGGAACCCAAAGGCTCTTGGCAGAAGTGCGTCCTATTCCTGTAGTAGGTTACTGGCGCTGGGCCACTCCAGGTGGAAATAGGTTTCGTGCCTCAGCCTGTTCCCCTGGTGATCACCATCCTCCAGAGGCCATTGGACAGTCAGGTTTGGGCCTGTAGTGACGAGACATGCAGGGTCTCACCAGATGGGGGTGGAACTGGCCCTTTCCTCCCCATCCCAATGAGACCCTGAGTCGCCACCTACAAACAGTCTCTCTGGCTCCTGATCAAGCTGATTAACAGCCATGATCCCAGAGACTCAGAAACAAATCTCGAAACCCAGCGGCTTTTGGCAGAAATGCATCTGAACCGTATACAAGGTGGCCGCCACCTCAGAGCTTATTGGAAAGCCAAGTATGAGCCAGCGGTGACAGGGCAACTGCAGTCTCATGGGAAGGGGGATGGTACTGGCTCGTCCTTCATGCCCTACCGAGGTCACGAGTTGCTCCCCACGAGCAGCTCTCCAGCATGACCATAGCTCCAGAGGCAAAAGGATTTAAATCCAGAGCCTGGCAGCTTGTGACAGAAAAGTGAATGGACCATGCATTAAACTCCGGCGCCATGCCTCCCTGGGAGGGAAAGGGTGTTGCTCCCTTCCGCCTTTTCCCCCCTTACAGCAAGGTGGCCATCCACCTCAGAGCTTATTGGAAAGCCAGGTATGAGCCGGCAGTGACAGGGCAACTGCAGTCTCATGGGTAGGGGGACGGTACCAGCTCATCCTTCATGCCCTACCGAGGTCACGAGTTGCCTCCCATGAGCAGCTCTCCAGCATGGCCATGGCCCAAGAGGCAAAAGGACTTAGTCCAGAGCCCAGCAGCTTGCGGCAGAAAAGTGAATGATCCATGTGTTAAACTCTGTTGCCATGCCTCCCCGGGAGGGAAAGGGTGTTGCTCCCTTCCACCTTTTTCCCCCCAGCGGCAAGGTGGCCGCCGCCTCACAGTTTATAGGAAAGCCAGGTATGAGCTGGCAGTGATAGGGCAACTGCAGTCTCATGGGAAGGGGGTCGGTACTGGCGCGTCCTTCACACCCTATCGAGGTCACAAGTTGCCCCCCCATGAGTGGCTCTCTGGCACAGCCATAATACCAGATGCACAGAAACCGATCTCATAATTATCTGGCTCTTTGCAGAAATCCAAAATCATGTAGCTGCTTTTGCGGCCACGAGACATTATATGATTCTCATACTAGCTATAGAAAACAAAGTATTCCACAATGTCTTTTCAACAATTCTGATTGTTGGGGGGGGAAATTCTAAACAATAATGGTACACCTTTTGTCGAAGTGATGAATGCAATCAATGTAGAGAAGAGTTAAGTAGCAATCATCTGCCTCACAGGCATTGGGAGGTGTGGGAGGGGGGGTATATTGGGGTTCTTGGTGGTGAAAAATGAGTACTGGTGAAGGGAAAGGTGTTTGATCATTGTATAACCGAGACTTAAACCTGAAAGCTTTGTAACTTTTCCAACAGTGATTCAATAAACATAAGAAAAAAAAAAGAATAGGAATGTTAGGTAGTGATGTCACACCTGTGTCATCTGCCTTACACGTGGCCTAATGGGTTCCATCCCTGGCACAGGGCACAGCTGGGTGTGGTACACCGAAATGAACTGAAATGGGAGAGATGGGTCAATGGTAAGCTTAGCATATGTTTTGCATGCAGGAGGTGGTGGTACAAACCTGGCAACAGCCTGATCCATATAAACTACACGACAATCCGACCCTACAGCCCGGCGATAGGAGTAGCCCCTGGACACTGCCAGGGGTGCAGCAAATAAACAAGACAGAATAGATTTATACCATAAGTAGAAGGGGAAAAAGAAAAAGAGTTCGAAGATAGCGCTAAGTTGAACTGTGAATATGAAACTTGTGCTAAACTGTAAACTTTCAACGTTAGGGAAAAGTATCTGGAGAGGAGTATTTTCACATTTGGCTTCAAATGCCAACGAATAAGCTCTTTACTCAAATATCATTTTCACGCTTCTGGAAAATAATTTCCTCTTTCAAAAACAATTCGCCTCTCTCGCGGTTACTAGGTAATGCTCGCTAGATCAAACCAACCCGGAGGGTGAAGGAGGAGACTGACGTTTTTGTGGATTTTGCTCTAAGGCAGGGTGCGAGTACCCCACTCTCCATCGAGCGACTGTTTAGAGCCTCGGAATGCTAGGAGGCCGATTGGAGATTGCTAGGCGACCCGTCCCGTCGCCATCTTTGAGTGGGGCAACGCGTCGCCTGGACGCCACCAAGAACGTGGTCGCTAGGCAACGTCTCGGCAGCTACTCCATCTTTGAGCAGGGCTAGGGGTTTACCGCGATCAAGTGACAGTCGAGTCCGAACGCGGTTGCTGCGCCACGTCTTGGCCCTGACGCTAACTCTGCGCTCCGTAGCACTGGCAAATGGAAATCAAGATCGAGTGCGGTTGTTCGGCAACCGTCTCCATTTTGAAATGGCAATCGATAAGGGGGGGGCATCGCTCGGCCACACCTCGGCACCGTCTCCAGCTTCAAGCAACTGCAGCACACAGTTTAATTGTAAAAAGCCCTCGCTAACGTGAGGGCTCCCACACTCTTGGCAGGGTCACCAACGTCCAGCCGGCTCTCCATTCTCTTCTTTCAGTAAACGAATTCACGAAGCCCTTTCAAGGAAGGGCTCTTGCGGGTTCCACCGCCATCTTTGTTAGGGGCGCTGTGACTTCCGGATAGCCCGGAAGAGCCTTGTGGGAATCGTAACGGGATTTGTGGGAGAGTTGGGTTCGCGTTGAGTGAAGAAAGCGGGAGTCTAGTTTTCTTGCAATCCGTTCCTCATCTCCCTCTTTGGCGGCTTCCGACGCCAGCCCCGCTTCGAGAGACCACGACATGCTCCAAGGCGGGCAGTGACTGTCCTCCCCGACGGGAGGGGGGAAGTTCCAAATGGGGGAGGAGGGGTCCGAGGGCACCGTGCATCTGCTGTGCCTCGCGGCCTCCAGCGGGGTTCCCCTGTTCTGCAGGAGCAGCCGTGGCGGCGCCCCAGCTCGCCAGCAGGTGGGGCCCTGAACGCTTGGATCCAGATATTAAGGGGGCTTCTAGACCCCACTAGAAGCCAAAGGGGCCTAGGCGGGACTGAGGAAGTTGCAGGGATGAGTTCCGAAGGAAAAGGGGCCTCGAAACTGGACTCGAGTTTAGAGATTATCCTGGGTCCCCGAAGAGAAGCGCTGGGGAATCTGGAAAGAGGAATGGGTCGGGAGCCTGGATATGATGGGTCCCAAGGCCAAGGGACTCGGGGCTTCGTGACGCCAGCAATTCCCAACTTCTCCCCAGCTCCCTTTCTCTGTCATCGGTTCCCTCAATGGAGTCCACATGTTTGGGCAGAATCTCGAGGTGCAGCTGACCTCTGCGAGGACCGAGGACACGACCGTGGTGTGGAGAAGCTTCCATGACAGGTCCCCAAGCAGTGGCACGCGCCGGGGACAGGGCCCTGGTGACAGATGACCTGAGGCCTTTCGTGATCTCCATGGGCAGCTGTGCAACTGTGGGAGTCTCTACCCAGAGATTACCCTCTCCTCACATGACTGCTTCTCCTCTCCACCCCCCACTCCCCCCACTGCAGCGCCCTGTGTTCGGCCTGTCCTCATTCTTCTTTCTCCCCGTCACAGCATCACCCTCATCATTCTGTCATCAGAGGAGGGCACCTCGGAGCTGAAGCTGGAGCGTCTCCTCCAGATGGTGTTTGGGGCTATGGTGAGACCCCCACCCCTTTCCCAAAGCAAGCCGCCTCCTCCCTGTGGCCCAGAATCCTGCAGCTCAGGGTCTCCCACTTCCTAAGCCAGGTGTGTTCCTACCTTTTCCTTTGATTTTGTTTTTCTAGGTTCTTCTGGTGGGACTTGAAGAGCTTACCAATATCCGCAACGTGGAGAGGCTGAAGAAGGAGCTGAGGGTGAGGTGGTGGGAAGGCTTGCTGGGGAGGAGGGATGCCAGGGTGCTGCTCTTGGGAAACTACAATTCCCAGCAGTCCCTGTGACAGCTTGTCTCTGGTGAGTTCTCAGCTTCCTGAGATAGACCAATTTGCTTCCAAGCCACACCCAGAGGTGCTCAGGGGTTATTCCTGGCCTTGCACTCAGGGATTATTTCTGGTGGCGCTCTGGAGACTGTATGGGATACTGGGAATAGAATCCGGGTTGGCCGAGTGCAAGGCAAGTGCCCTCTTCGCTGTGCTGTTTTTCATGCTCCTGGACCAGTGAGTTTTGAGGGGGAGGCAGCCAACTCGGAGCCTGGCAGGATCCTAGCTCCTTCCTCTCCCCTCTGCTAGGCCAGTTACCGCCTCATTGACAGCTTCCTGGGGGATTCGGAGCTCATTGGGGACCTGACTCAGTGTGTGGACTGCGTGGTTCCTCCAGAGGGGTCCCTCCTGCAGGTATTTGGGGAAGCCTTGGGGACTCTTAAACTTGTCCCTGTGCCTGGCTTGACATCTTCCTGCCCTCTTGGCTTCTGGTCAACCCTTGTGTCCCTTGAAGGATCTGTCTGCGCCCAGAGCTGACCCTATCTCTTCCCGGTCCTGACCTCTCTGCCTCATGTTTCATCTAACACCCACCAGCCATCTAGACCTTTCCTCTAGTACCATCAGCTTTCTCCAAACAACCTCCCCCAGCCCCCAGCAGTTTCCTTGCTTCCTTCCTGCTAGTGAATCTGCCCCTGGTCCTCAAACACCTGCTGGGACCCTGCACGTGTTCGGTCGCCTGCCTGCAGCGCGACTCTGGGCAGGTGACCAAGCATTGGTCAGATGCAGATTGTATGTAGCCGGACCATTTCAGTCTCGCTTGCTGCTAGTTTATTTGCTTTGGTAGCTTAATAACGGGAGAGGTAACAGGCACCTTCCCGGTTCCCTACGCTCAGTGTGACTTGGGTATTGTACCCGCACATAAAGGAACCCAGGCCTCGGTGACCCCCGCTCCGGGGTCAGCCCCTCCTGCTCGCCTTCCCTGACTGCCCTTGGCCTGCCACCTTCCCCAGGAAGCCCTCTGTGGGTTTGCTGAGGCCGCCGGCACAGCCTTCGTGAGCCTGATTGTGTCGGGCCGGGTGGTAGCAGCCACGGAGAGCTGGTGGCGACTGGGGACGCCCGAAGCTGTGCTGCTGCCCTGGATGGTGGCGTCCCTGCCGCCGCAGGCCGCCCGCGACTACCCGGTGTACCTGCCGCACGGGAGCCCCACGGTGGGTGGGCGGGGCCTCCGGGGAGGAGGGGCGGGGCGGGGCGGGGCTCGACTCGACTCCAACTGGCGCCCTCCGCCGTGCGGTTCCAGGTCCCTCACCGGCTTCTGACCCTGACGCTGCTGCCGGGCTTGGAGCTGTGTCTGCTCTGCGGGCCGCGGCCTCCCCTCAGCCAGCTGGATCCACAGGTGACTCTGGGACACCCGCCCCCCAGCCTGCTCCTTCCTCGGCTTCGCCCATGCAGTCCGCAATCTAATCGAGTCCTGGGGGGCGGGGGAGGGGTCCTATGGGCTGGCCTGGCCACACCTTTCATGGCTCCTTCCCATCCCCCACCGCCCGGACCCCCTTGCAGCTCCTGGAACGCTGGTGGGTGCCTCTGCTGGAGCCACTGAGAGCCTGCCTGCCGCTGGGACCCCGGGCACTGCCCGGGGGATTCCCCTTACACACCGATGTGCTCGGGTAAGGCTAGGACAGGGGACGCCGTGGGGCCGGGGTCTCAGCCTCCTCTCTGGCCATGCCGCTCCCTCCTCCCACAGTTTGCTGCTCCTTCACCTGGAACTGAAACGTTGTCTGTTCACGGTGGAGCTCTCCTCCGATAAAGGTGACCAAGAGGGTGCGCTGGGAGGGCAGAGGGGCCTGTGCAGTGTGTCCCAGGAGGGGCGCTGTCACTGGCTCTCTCCCCCTTCCAGAACCTTCTCCTGAGCAGCGCCGGCGCCTCCTTCGTTCCTTCTACTCCCTGGTCACAGCCACACACTTCCCACCAGGTGAGCACTTCAGGCAGGAGCTCTTAGGCATAGATGGGCCACGGACGGTTGGAAGGCTTGGCTCCGCCCTGTGCTCTCAAGAGCCTTCAGGGGATCGTTTCGCTTGGCACCCCGGAGACAAGTGCTTTCCTGGCTGCTTGTTGGGCCCCTGGCCGTGTTCATGGGGGAGCCATGCAGTGGTGGGACTGAACCTGGGCCTCCACCTGGCATCACACAAACTCCAGTGCTCTGGGCCACCCACCTGGCCCTAGACAAGTTATGGTGGTGACTTGCTTCCCCCGCCCAGGTGGGAGTTATCATCGCGGTACAGGCTCTTTCCAAGAGCACAGGCGAGGAAACACTCTGCTCACTTGCCGGAGAGCCCCAATTCAGACACAGGCACCTGCCAGAGGCCCCACTGGGGGCTCTCGGGGACTGCCCATGTGGGCCCCTGGTGGGGCGGGGAACTCTCAAAGCTGCAAGGGCCAAGAAGACCCCCTGGGAAGGGCAGACAACTCTGCTTTCCTAGCCATGTGCCCTTCATCCCCCTTCCATAACACAGGGGGTCCTGGAGGGTCAGAAAAGCCGGGCCGGGCCCTCCCAGCAGCAGTGGGAGCAAAGCCAAAGTCCGAGGCTTCCTTCTGGTCACCACTAGGCAGCGGCTGCTGAGGCCCCATCAGGTCCACAACAGGGTCCCCAGCTGACGGCTTCCTTCTTGTCCTTTCTCCAGAGCTGGGGCTGCTGGATGAGAAGGCTGAGGACACAGCCCCCCAGGCTCAGGTGCCGCGAGCCTGCTACCTGGTGTCGGGCACCGAGGAACCAGACTCGGGATGTCGGCTGGTGGCCCTGCAGCTGTGGCCCCGGCGACTGCTGCTGCTCCTGTCTCCCCAAGCCCCCACACACGGGCTGCGGGGCCTGGCCACCCGCACGCTGCACAGCCTTACACCCCTGCTCTGACGGCGCGGGGCTGTTAGCGTCTCTCTGTTTATTCGCTCACAATAATACACGACCCCTGGACGGGGAGAGGCGGGAGGGGCGACGACAGGGTAGGTGGGAGGGGAGGAGGCACACCCGCTTCCCTGGCCCCTCTCCCCTCTGTGCTTGGGGTGGGGGAAGGGAGGGAGGGGGCTCCCCCTGACCCCCCAGAATGTAAACAGCAGCAGATGAACAAAAATAAAAATACAAAAGGCCGGAGGAGGGTCCCAGGCATCCCCCCACCCCTGGGGTCTTCCCTGTCACCAGAGGAGGCCCCCATGCCGCCCCGTCCACAGAAGCTGCCTCAGTCCTAGGGGCTGCCGGCCACATCCCCGGGGGCAGAGTCCAGGGCTCAGAACTGCTGGGCCAGCAGGTCACACAGATGACGGGACACGGTCTCCTTGCTCGTGCGCAGAGTCAGCCGGTACATCTGGAGGGAGGACAGGACCGATGAGAAGTATAAGGGCTTGGTGGGTGACAGGTGAAAGCTCACAGGGCCGGAAGTGGCAGCATCACATCGTGCCTCAAGCACCAGGCATAGCCCCGAAACCAAAGGGAGATGCGAAGAGAGGTACCTCAGAGAGACAAGGCAGTGTAATGGGGAGGTGATCGGGCGGGGGCCCCTGAGACTCCCACTCACCTGAGCCTGGGCGTTGGGCTCCAGGCGGAGCAGACAGCCCACCTGCAAGGCCTTCGTCTGGATGATCCCGGCCCCCACGAAGTTCTCTGGGTTGGGGTCCACATTATCCAGGAGCGCAGAGCCAAACCCCAAGAGCTGGACAGGAAGGAAGATGGCTGTCAGGGGGTGCCCAGGGAGGGAAACTGAGGTCCAGGGCTCTTCGCCTCTCCCTTACCTTGGCCTTAGTAACTTCTGCATCCATGGGGTGATTGGCTTTGAAGATTTTCTGCGCCTCCTGTTGGGGGCTGGGGGAACAGGTGAGGGAAGGTGAGGGTCAGGGGCTGGGCGCTCTAGCTATGTCCTCTATCCCCTCCCGCGCACACCCCCCACGGCTCACAGGCTCAGCTGCTTCCAGCGCTGGAAGAAATCCTGGGCTGCCATTTCCGTGGGCTGGAAGAATTTGTTGATGGTCACCGGGAGCTTCAAGGTGAGGGCTTGCGGGGCACCCCCGTACCTGACAGGGAAAAAGGAAATGAGGGGTCAGCCCCCACCTCTGCAGCCCGCCCCCTCACCGAAAGGGCTAACCCTGCCCAGGCAGGTCCCGCCCCCTTATCAAAGATCCGCCCCTGCCCAGGTAGGCCCCGCCCCTCACCTGAAGCGCACAGACAGGAGCGGGGGCGTCAGAAAGTCCCGCAGACATTCGATGTTGAGAACCTGCTGCACCTGTGCGCCACCATCCACCTGCGCTGCTACGCGCTTGGTCTGCACAGCCAGCTGTGGCCGCCGTGGTTAAGGAAGAGAGAGATGGGGAGAAGGTGCCACCTGCCACAACCCCGGATGGTTCCAAGCTTTCCCCACCCATCCTAGATAATTCCTAGCACTCTGCGCTGCAGACACTTCCCTGAGCAGAAGCCCCGACCCACCCACCTGTTAGGTGCCCCTGATGGTACACCAGTAGTCTCGGGGCCCTCTCTGTTAAGTCCCAGATCGCCGGGCTCTTTGCAGGCCAGCCTTCATGGCCTGGGGGTCACTCTGCCAACTAAGCACTCCCAAGTCTGCACAGGGTGAGCAAACAGCTACTGATGGTGTCTGTCTCTGGCCCTGGCCCAGTTAGCCCAGAGCTGAGGCTGCAGGAAGCTTCTGGGAATGTCATGTTTACTGAAGGACTGAAAAGGTTCTCCAAGCCTGGGGCTCATGCACGACCCAAGTACAAATGTGGAGACCAAGGTTTAGAGAGGGGGCTGGGGAGAGAACAGGAAGGCACAAGCACTTTCTTTACGCCCCCACACCCCCTTCCTGAGCCCATGAGGGCCTGGCTCAGGGTGCACGAGAGCCCTTCCTGTGTGAGCCCCTAGGAGTGGCTACAGAAAGCAGGACCTGATACAGTGCAAGGCCAGGCATCAAAGGGGCCGGATCAGGCTACAGACAAGGTGTCCTTTGCACCAGTGACATGGCACCACTCTCGTCCCCTGCCCTGAAGGACAGGGATCCTCCTGCCCCCCTCCCATACTCAGATGACACTGATGGCACAGAAGTAACCAGCAGCTCAGGCGCTGGGGGCCGGCGACAGCCAGAGGATATGAGTCTGCAGGTCTCCAGGGTGGACAACTGAGGGCAAGAAGTTCTGGAACTGCACGGAGGTCTTGTTGCCGTAGAAGAGATACATGCGGCCTGCAGTGGGAGAGGGTGGTGGAGTTTCGTTTCCACCCAGCGCCTGCGCCACCAGCCCGCGCCCTGACCTCTCCCTCGGCCCCAGCACGCACCCAGGTTCTGCCGGAACTCCGACTTGACACCGATTTGCAGTAGCTGGTTCTCAAACAGGACTCCGTTGTTCTTGCATACGAATCTAGGTGGGCACGGTGGGGGTTGGCAGAGTCTAGACCTTCAGATCCTCCTCCCTCAGACCCAGAAATCGTTACCCACCACCTCCTCCCCCAGACCCAGGCGTCCAAACCCTCAAACACCTCCTCCCTCCCGAAACTCACTTATTGAGCAGTTCGTCCGCTTCCGGGATGGGGGGGCCGACATCCTCCGGACCTGGGCTGAAGGCGGAAGAGCAGTGAGATGGGAGAGCGCGGGGACCAGACGCGCAGGCCCAGCGGTCAGAGTAGGGGTAAAGAGAGCAGGCTGGGGCCGACTCCCAGGCAACCTCAAAGAACCCAAGCACCTGGCAACTGCCCCCGGCCCTGCGCTATCCCGCCCTCCTGCCAGAGGACCCGGCCTCACCCTCCTATCCAAGTTCTTGCCTCAGCTGCTCCTCGGGAACCCACAGCCCGAGCCCTCCCTGGGGACACAAGAGTCCACCCCCACCCGCACCCCCTTACTCGGCAGCTGGAGCTGGATCAGCCAGCAAAGCCATGGGGCTCTCAGGAGCAGGCGGCTCCAGCTCGCTGGGCCATCCAATCCCAGAGCAGACAAGAGAAGACAGGCGTGGCAGGCAGCCAATCCCAGAGAGGCAGCAAGAGGGTGGAAGAGAGCCGAAGAGAGACAGAGGGAAGGAGAGAAGGAGGAGCAGACTGAGACCCAGTGGCGGGGGAGGACAGGGCAGGGGCCAGAGAGCCCAGGAGGGCAGCAGGAGGGGAGAGAGGAGCAAGGGCAGAGGGCACTGGGGACCGTGGCGGGCAGTACCTGAGGAAGGCCTCCTCCGGCGTGGGCCCCAGGCTGGGCTGGGCAGCAGGGCCATCAGAGAAGACGTCCACCAGGAGGTTCCCTGCCCCCGCAGGGGCTGGGGGTGCGGCCGGGGGAGGGGCTGCCCGCAGCCCCAGGAGGTCAGCAGAGGGCGAGGGGGTCGACTGTGGGGCAGGGGGTAGAGTTGAGCAAAGGGGATGACCCCAGTGTCTCATCCCGCCCTGGTCATGGTAACCCCCCCATTTCCGCCCCAGGACCCACCACGGTGCTAGGGGTGGGCTCCATGCCCCCATTGAGGTCGTTGCTGCTGGGGTCCCTCCGGCCATCGTCCAGGGTGCTGCCAGCGCCCGGCCCCTTCTTGCGTTTCAGCTTGGCCAGGATGGAAGACTCCCGCTCTGGGAAAGGGGGCATCTCCTCCAGGACGGTGGCCTGCGAGCAGGGGTACGGCGAACGGTCAGGCCTGGGAACCGGTGGGCAGGGGAAGAACAGGGCAGCAGGGCTGGGTGGGGTGGGGGGGCTGACCAGGACGTCGGTGCTGGCCACAGAGCTGAGGGTGAGGTACTCGACGGCTCGCTGCTGCAGCTCCACGTCGGCATTGCGCAGCTGGGAGCCGGCTCGCAGCACGCCCTGGATGGTGGCCTTGGTCTCAGGAAAGAGGTTGATGAACTTGATGTAGGTGGACAGCAGCAGCGCCCGCGTGGCCACGCTGCACAGGTGGAACTTGGAGTGCAGCAGGGAGAACTGCACTGGGGGGCTGTGGGGGGGCCTGTGTCAGTGGGCCGCCTTGTGCCACCATCCCCACATCCCTCCGACCCGTGACCACGGGGATCTTGGAGGGGAGACAGCGGCCCTGAAACCCTGCAGGGACAAGGAGCCCAGGGACCTCCTGGGAGGCGTCCTCTGACCTGGAGCGCGGGTCCCCGGCAATCAGGTTCCCGAACTCCCCAAGGATGTAACCGCCGACCTTCACCATGTTCTCGTGGCAGGCGGGGGCCTGGAGCGCCTGTGGGAGGGAGAGGCAAGGATGACAGTGAGGGGGACCCTGCTCAGAAGCGCCTCGGCGCACTGGGAAAGACCAAGCCTGAGACTCCTTGGGATGTGGGGGAACTACAGCGGGGGAAACTGAGGCCCAGGGCTGGGAGGTGACCAGCCCCCGCTCACCCAGCTGGCAGAGGGAAGGGGAGCCGCAGGGCCAGTGCGAGTGGTGGAGACCCCCCAGCAGCAGGCTGACCTCGAAGACAGTCTTGGCAGCGTAGCCCTGCACGTCGTCCCGGTTGGTGACAATCTGCAGCACCCGGTACCACACCTCCTCGCTCACGTAGTCGCCCGCGATGCGGATGAGGTTGAGGATGGTGTCCACGTACCAGCTGTAGTCCACGGCGTACTTCTCAGCCAGGATGGCCACCTTCAGCACCTGCAGAGTGGAGGTACAGCAGGGGTCCTCCTCCCTCAGACCCAGGAACTCAGTTCTCCCTAACCGCCTCCCTCAGACTTCCCGCTTCCTCCCTCAGACCCGGTGCCAGCGCGCCCACTCACAATCTCCTCGCGGATGGCATAGTCTGCCGTCTCCAGGTAGCGCAGCATCTCCGACACGATCTGCTTGGCATTGCTCCGGTCGCACATGGCGTACAGGAGGTCGGCCGCCCGCTGCCGCACGCTCACGTCCCGCTCCGTCTGCAGGAGGAGAGCAGGGAGGGTGTGGCTCCAGGCTCCACGAGGGCCGTGGAACCCCAGAGGCCCCCAGCAGACCAGC